AAGTTGCAGTTGGAAATTAAATCGTAAGGCAAGGGGTTAAACAAAATAATTGCTCGGTACAATTAAACTAGACTTAAGCTTCGACTGGTTGTATACGTGCTACCTTTGGCAAGTGTAGTGACCGCGGGTATGAATGTTACCCGTGAATAGTAACACATGTATATTGTTTTATCTGAGTATCTTTTGTTTAAAATTATAATCTTCTTGCACACCGCGATTTTCAAGATGACGAATGTCATAGTAGATTCATTTTTAATTTGACACTGATTTTAAAATGAATATATAATGAGTACATATACATATATGAATAGTACAACTTCCTCTCGTTCGCTTGTTCTCTGGTTCTCGCTTTCCGAGATTATGTCTCGACCGAAAGGATCGGAGAGTTTTGCTCGATCACCTCTGTTTGATAGAATGAAACATGTGACGCCTGTGTAGTAGGTGTGATAGCTCTTACCGCTTCAACCCCGGTGCAGCTTGGTTCAGCTTAAGTGGGGCCTCGCCGAGCGCATATATTCTCCTCTTTATACGGAAAAGAGAATGACCTCCGGCGAGAGTTCCTGACCCATATCCGTTCTCGAGTACTAAGCGGGTCCTGTTGTGACCGTGTGTCCTCCAGGGCCCGGCGGTTGTACGTAGAGAGGCCCGATAGACGTGGGTCAGGGGCGCGACTTGCTTTTCTGATAATCAAGGCCGGGGGGGATCAATCTGATACCCACACTCACTGCACGCTTATGAGCACGTGTCGCGTCGCGTTTTATTCAAGCGTGCGATGCTTTTACACGCCGCAATTTTCAATATGACAAATATCGTAATATCGATCGAAAGTAGAGTCATGATTTTAATATCATTTATAATACTTATAATTATATTAACTTTAGAACGAGTGTCAAATTAGTAGCTTCCGATTGTTCTTTACATTCTTCGATAATTAAATTCATTTTCATAATTTAGTCGACGACTTTGGGTATCTTCGATATCGTTGGATACCCAAAGTCTTTCTTTACTTATTAAAATATATCATTAGATTTACGTGCAAGAAGATATTTCGCGATAAATATATTTTAGAATCAAAGTAACCTCGTATATTATCTACTATTTTTACTTTGTCACTGCACTTGCCTGTAGTTGTAGTATTTGTAGTTTTACAGATTCAGTGTTGTTCTCTTACTAATCTATTAAACAAGTTTCTGTTACAGAGCATATTCCTATGGAAGTTTTAGGTCTATAAAGGTAACAATTAAGAATTCTTACAATTTTGTTTGATATTGCTTTGTTCGTGTTTCAGGAAATCATCGTGGGATAAATAGAAGATAGAAGAAAGAAGAAAGAAGAATGTATTTCATGTATTTTGTTTCAAATTGCTCAATTTATGTTTTAATAATTTAGGTTTATAGTTAGGTAGAATGTAACGGTATGTTTCAGGAAATCTTCGTCGAAGGATCAACAAGGAAGAATATATTTACTATGTATTTTGTTAGATGATTAGATAGGTAGGATGTAAATGAATTTAGATTTATAGTTAGGCAGGAGTTTGATTTTCCATATTATTCATTATATCAGGCAGGCAATATTTTGGTCTATTTCTCTGTTTTGTTGATGAGAATTTAGAAACAAATTCTTTCTCAAAAATTCTTTCGTTGATTGTTTCCATCGTTGATTGCACTTTCGTTTGTTTCTTCTTCGACCAACGATTGTTGGTCACAGATTTTTATTAATGGAGGGTGGTTGGGAATCGGTTAGGGCGGGTCTCCATTCGCAGCAACCTCCTCGTGGTGAGACCTGGGTAATATTATTTAGCGTTTAATTAATAATCGTATCACTCTTAGCTGGGTAATGCAATTATTAATTAAAAACTAAATATTATTAGCAAATTGGCTGCGATCCGCTTTGCATAGGTCATCATAAATATAGAGCTTCTTCGCTAGGCTAGTTTTGATTCTCATTGATTCATCAAAGATTTTAGAGTGTTGTCACAGATGTGGTATAGAAGTAGATCCTTCATCCAATTTATTTTTGCGGCCTATTTTTGTGGGGTCTCGAAACCACATTACCAATTTCGTGTCTTTTGCAACGTTACCAACAGATTCAGAAATGAATTTTAATCTCTTCCATAGTCACCTCACATGTATTTACGCAACCACAGAAGAAGAAAGGAAAATTGTTATAAATTTACATAATAAGTGTAAAACACTGAGTGAAATTTCTAAAGTTTTAAATAGACCGAGGTCCACGATTCAAGGAATCATTGACAGATATGGCGATCGAAAAACTGTAAAAAATAATCCAAGAAACGGACGTAAACGAATAATATATGAGTATACCGGCCGATGGATAATTCAAAAAATAAAGCAAAATCCGAAGATAAGTGCGGTGAAAATCACAGCTGAACTTAAAAATGATCTGTACATTAATGTATGCAGTAGCACAGTGCGTAATTTTTTACGGGATAGAGGATATCACGGCAAAATAGCTCGTAAGAAATATTTCGTAAATGAAATTAATAGAAAGAAACGATTGCAATTCGCGAAAGAGTACGTTAATGTTCCTATGGAGCACTGGAACCTTATTATATTTACTGATGAGAGTAAATTTAACATATTTGGGTCAGATGGACGATGTACAGTATGGCGGAAAAAAAATACCGAGTACGAAAAAAGAAATTTAAAGCCGACCGTAAAGCATGGAGGAGGATCAGTCACAGTTTGGGGCTCTATGAGTGCGAGCGGAGTTGGATCCCTCCATTTTATCGATGGTATCATGGATCACAAAATGTACATCGATATTCTAAAAGAGCATCTTCAGGTTAGTGCAAATAAAATGCAGTTACAGGGCAATTATATATTTTTGCAAGATAATGATCCAAAGCATAATGCTTATAATACACGTCAGTGGATCCTATATAATATGCCGCAGCAATTAAAAATTCCTCCACAGTGTCTAGACGTAAATGTGATAGAGCACTTATGGAGTCATCTTGAAGAAAAAATTCGAGACCATCGCATTTCTTCGAAACAAGATTTAAAAAATGCACTTTTAGAGGAATGGAACAAAATTTCTAGTACTATAACCACGAATTTAGTAAATTCAATGCCGCAAAGGCTTAAAGCGATTATACAATCTAAAGGAAATCCCACTAGATACTAAAATAGCAAATAGACTGATTTTTGTTACGTTTATGTACTAAAATTTACAGTTTTTGTTGTAAAATTAGAAATGTACGAATACTTATTACACGTATATTTCACGCCAATTTCTGGAAATTTGTTAATATTTTCATAATAAATATAAATAAATAATTTGTTGTTAATGACATTTGTTCCAGAGATTTCTAAGAATATGTATGCATGTTTTTGTTAACATACTTTTGTAATAAACAAAGTTCTGCAAAGTTTTCGTTCAAATTGTCTAGTGTACGAATACTTTTTACACTCACTGTAAATAGATTTATACAGGATAACCATTCCAATAATCGGATGGTTAAAGATATCTAACGTTCGATTTTATTAGAAATTAATTAAAATAATTGTTTTTATCTTTTTTATTTTCATTTTTGTGAGTTTGGTTATATGTGTTGTAATCGTAGAGCAACCAGGAAATAGGTGTTTGTTCATGGAAAAACAAGTCGAAAATGCCGAATAAAATGTTGTTGGGAAACCTTTTGTTATCCTGAATTTGAAAAGTACACATGACCAACTGTAAACCTCCATCACAGTTCTGTATGAAGAAACGTTACACCATTTTGGCTAAATTTTCAATAGAATTACAAAGTAACTGTCTTACACGTATATGCGACAACATTCTAATTAATTTCGTTGTATGAAAATTTACAATTCATGATAGATTGTCAGCATTATTTTCTAAGTCTCAATACAACAAATTTCAGTATAGATTCTGATCGATTAGAATGGTTCCTTAACCCTTTGCACTCCTATGTCGAGTGTGACTCGACATTTTGTCAAATCCAAACCAAATAGATATCGTACACTTGAAAATTACAAAATACAACAATAGTGGAAATAAAACAGTATTTAATTGAATTTATTTGTTCCTCTGTTTGTTTAAATTGCCCTATATTTTAGTTAATGTACATTTCAAATAAAACACTTAAAAGCGTTGGGAGCTGCCAATAACAAAATTGAAATATAATTCGGAGTGCAAAGGGTTAAATCAAGATACGACACTTTCCAAGGATAATTTATTTAAAATAATCTACAAAAATATTGTTATAATACAAAATACAGTGCCTGGGGATTCACAATTAGTCGTGTGAGCCATATTTTATAGATTTCCAATATTAGTTTTCTTGATAACGAAAGGTGTTAATACAAAACTTTATTAATCTTACACCGATTGACATTACACGTAAACTCGTGTTTATAAACATTCTAACGAGTAAACTTTAAAGTATTATAACTCTTCAACTATTAGTTTTAGAGCATAACTAAAGGAACAGGGAAGGACCTAGATAAGTACGACGATGCAAGAGAAAAACGCTCGTTGTTGAGCTCCCCGTTTACTGCGTCTTCGAACTTGACAGGTATCTACGCCAGTTGGATTACAGACCTCAGTTTGATTTCCTCTTCCGGCCTCGACTCTAAACAGCGTTAGCACACAGTCCACGCCAGGTGCCCGAAAAGAAGCAGAAAACCGAAGTAGACTGGCAGGCTTAAGGCGGAAAATTGGAGCACGGATGGATTATACTTATTTTTTTCATAACGGGCCGGCTATCTACGGGTATAATTACAGTTAAGATTGTTATAGATATAAGCTCACAAACCAGCCACATTTTATCAAAATTGGCGACGATCGGTACTGGCAATCTCCTTGTCGGTAAAACAGAGATTATCGACGAAGAAGAACTGTCACGTGCAAATATTGGAAAATATCGAATGGGAATTGGAAAAATGTGTGATGCAAGTTTCCCAAGTTCCAAATTTGAGAACATCCAATGATTCCGGAAACGACGAGAGAAAATGGTTAACGCGGGACATACGTACGGAAATTGATTCGCGACCAGCTTCTTCGTACGTTGCCGGGTCGAGGCGATGCCAGGCGGCCAGGAAGTCTTTGACGTACGGCCGAGTAGCGTCCACGATGCGAAAACCGGTGATGTTGATAGCACCGTACTCGATCACCTCGCTCTCCCATCGGTCGTCCATTATCTGATTATACGAAAATAGTGTGCTTGTACTGACACATAAAATATACGAAGCGCCGCTGGTGGGTGGGACGATTCCGTGGATTCGAGTGCTTCCACTTAGAAATCCTCGCAAATAAAAGGCAAACGGTGGTTTATAGATACCAGCGTGTCTTTGTTTATCTAAGATTACTCGATCAACTGCAGATCTCGAATCGCAAAAGGAACAGTCGGTTACTTCTTTATAAACGAGCTCTAGTTCGATCGTATACCGAAACGAAACAAAGGGTTAAATAAAAGTGCAATGAAACGAGAAGTAAGCAGAAAGTCAATATTTAAAAATGTTTTGAGTATTTTTTTTAAATTTATTCAACGTACCGATTAATACCTGTTAATGTACTTTTCAACGAACCGATATTATCCCACAATCAGTTTCATGTTGTTTTATCCCATTGAAGATTGGAACATCGAGCGTGTCGCGTGTAACTTGGGAAAAATTTTAATGGCAGATTCTGGATGCCAAAATAAGACGAAAATCAAGAATACCAATTTACTGATGGAGGCTTCGTTAAGAAGTTATTAACGTTTAAAGTTCCGCCTGTACTGAATTTTTTTCTCGAAAATGCGCAGGATTTCGTGGGTATGTCTATTCACCAAAAATTCTTGTAATTGACCCCTGTAACTAAATATAATTTTTTTAGTATGATTTGAAATTTTGTAATCTCGTCTAAAAATTTCAGTACATACTTGAATTTTTTTCTCGGAAGTGGGTAGGATTTCAGGGGCATGTGTATTCACCAAAAATTATTGTAATTGAGCCCCGCAACCAAAAATAATTTTTTAAGAATGATTTGAAATTTTTTAATTTAATTTTTTAATAACTTTTTAACGAAGCCTCAAGTAAGAAATTGCTATTCTTGATTTTCGTCTTATTTTGGCCTCTAGAATCTCCCTCTAGAATGTCCCGAGCTTGGTCATTTATGTGGGCACTACTGTATTATGGTCTTCATTACGCAAGGAAGACAGAAAGGAATTTTTTCAGGAGACAATAAAATGCTCAGAGTGTGATTTATATGGAAATTGTATAAATGGCGTAGTTTAAAAGAAAAGTTTATAAAAATGTTAATATAAACGAATGTATATTTTTTCAACTCTTAATGTTTTTATGGTGGAAATATACAAGAATTATTTAATATTATAAAATGTTCTCGTTTGGTATTTCCATGATTAAACATTAAGAGTTGAAGAAATATTCATTCGTTTTAATCAACATTTTTATTTATAGAATTTTCTTTTCAGAAATATACAGGGTGTTCGGCCACCTCTAGCAAAAATTTTAATGAGCGATAGTAGAGGCCAAAATAAGACGAAAATCAAGAATACTAATTTGTTGATGGAAGCTTCGTTAAAAAGTTATTAACAATTAAATTCAAAAATTTCAAATCGTTCTGGAAAAATTATTTTCGGTTGCGGGGGTCAACTACAATCATTTTTGGTGAGTATACATACCTCCGAAATCCTATCTACTTTCGAGAAAAAAAATCGAGTAGGTGCTGAAATTTTTCGGCGAAAAAAAATTTTTCAAATCGTTTTAAAAAAATTATTTTTGGTTGCGGGGATCAATTACAATCATTTTTTATCATTACACATACCTCCGAAATCGTACGCACTTTCGAGAAAAAAATTTCTTACTGAAAATCCAATTAGGTGCCTAAATTTTTCAACGGAGAAAAAAAATTGCAAATCGTTGTGGAAAAATTATTTTTTGTTGCGGGGGTCAATTACAATCAGTTTTTGTCATTAGACATACCCACGAAATCCTGCCCACTTTCGAGAAAAAAAATAGAGAAGGTGTGAAATTATTCGAGAAAATTAAAAAATTGCAAATCGTTGTGGAAAAATTATTTTCGGTTGTAGGGTTCAATTACAGTCACTTTGGTGAATAGACATACCCCCAAAATCTTGCGCATTTTCGAGAAAAAAATTCAGTAAGAGCGGCACTTTAAACGTTAATAACTTTTTAACGAAGCTTCCACCAACAAATTAGTATTCTTGATTTTCGTCTTATTTTGGCCTCTACTATCGCTCATTAAAATTTTTGCTAGAGGTGGCCGAACACCCTGTATATAGACTTGTAGAACAAAGCACAAACAATCGTATATTACAATTTAGTATTTCTATACCAGAGAACTGTTTGTTTCATTAAACTAGAAAATTGAACTGCAGATTGGGATAAAAAAATAAACGAGAGGTAGATGAAAAACAAGTTGAAAATACAGTAAAAAATCGCACGTTAGCGATACGACTTTAATAAGCTACTCGAAGCCAGTGCTTTAATGGATAATATTTCTCATTGAGGTTGCAAGGAATTCGTATAAACGTTTATGCCATCAGTATCCTTAAATAAGGACGCATTCCTGCGCCATGCTACTCGACCGAAACCGCTAAATATATGCTGTCTTGTCTGGTGTATTCCAACGCGCGCGAACATTCTGCTTCCTTGCGGTGCTTCGAGCGAATTCGAATGTCTTTAATTATCTCAGTCGTCCCTTTATCTTTGTGAATTGCAACGTAAAAGTGAGATGCATTCGGTGTTGCGAACGTTTACGATTTTAGAGTTTGATAACTAGAGTTTGATCTACCCTGCATAATTACTTACCAATCCACTTAACAAATAGTGATACGTTCTTTTCCCCAGCGCTACGTCCCTCACGTGACTCACAACAATGTTCTTCGCCATGTCTGTGGGGCAATCGAGCACCACGTATTTGTTGCTCCATCTGTGAAAAGTTCAAATTTACTGTTTTCATTCATGTTGAAAGGCTCGTGTTTTTGGACAGACTGAGAAAACGAATCATACGTGGAAGATGATATTTGGTTTGACAAAAATGGAGAGATTATAATGGAGGTTATGGCATTATTCAAAAACCGTTCGATATATAGGGGCATTCTATTAGATTCTACTTCTTTCATTCGTGTATGCATACGTAGGATATATATATATAAAAGAAAGTTTATTTGACTCTTTTATGTTTAATTCTCTGTAAGATTTGTTTGGAACATTTTTAGAAAAGATTACAAATAACGAATATACAGAGTGTCGCCACCTCTGGGAAAAATTTTAATGGGAGATTCTAGGGGCCAAAATAAGACGAAAGTCGAGAATACCAATTTGTCGATTGAGGCTTCTTTAAAAAGTTATTTACGTTTAAAGTTCCGCATGTAGAACGGCAATCTGCGAACAGCTGCGTGCGCGTTATAGAACTTTAAACGTTAATAACTTTTTAACGAAGCCTTAATCAACAAATTGGTATTCTTGATTTTCGTCTTATTTTGGGGTGGTCGAACACCCTGTGTATTGGAAGAAACGAACAACATAAAAGTAAACTTGAGTTCGAACATACACGAATTAAAGGAATTTTTTTTTTCAATAGTCGAAACGTGATCAGGGATTCTTGAGTATTTGTAAATTTTTCTTTTTTATTGGCCAGAAAGTAAGAAGCTATATCGCGAATAAAAGCTTGTCTGCAAATTTGATATTCCAATGATACAGTCATGGCGAAACGAACCGTTGCGTGGCGACAATTCGCAATTGTTGCGTTTTGATTTCAGTAACTACAATGTTCATTCGATTCGAGCTCATTGTCGGGGCGGGTTGTTGATTACCCGGGTCATGCAAATGCGTAGCCGGCGGTAAATTGTGGCCGAGATACGCGGTGACCACTCGTATTCCCACAAAAGCGTGATCCGTCAGATTCCACCAATGCGGATAGTATTCACCGCCCCAAAAATAATAACCTATACTATTACGCGAACGCGCGCGACCAATATTTTGGCGGAAGCTTTCCCATCGCACGGAAAAATATTTCGGTTCTTAAAATATAGTCCTGTATATCTCAATAACGTTCTGTTGTAGTTGTAACAGGTGATTCATTATTTTCCTTTAACGTTTTCGACGAAACGAGAAACGTAAATGGAATGCAACAACGTAAATATCGTCTTAAATATTTTCTGTAATAAAATTAATCGTGAACAGTAACAATTGGTTAAGTGCACAAATTGACGACAGATTTTTAAAAATAGTTTTCTTGATATCCTAAAGAAACATTTTATTCTTTAGTGCTCTTTCTGCTTCGCTAATGTCTACAATTCTAAGTTTTCGATTTATTATAATATATATAAATCAATCCTTTTCCAGCTGTATTTCGATTACTGCTAAGCATCATGTAAAAGAGTTCTGGTTTATTAGGACTACGAGAAATGGCTAGAGTAAATTGTCATCAATAAGATTAGAAATTTTATTAGACTCAACGATATACGGAATAGAAAAATACAGTAATCTTTAGGTATCAACTTTTTGTTTCTCTTGTGACGTTTCTTGATTATGTGCTCTTCATTCTTCAAACGTTATACATTCTCATAGACTCGAAAATGCAAATAATTCCATAGATTTTGGTTACGCGAAATCGAAGAACTTCGATGAAACGACGAATCGAGTTTGGGTTTTTAAAAAAACGCTGTCGCTCGTAAGTTTGAGCACACTTAACCGAAACGTTGATCTTTGGATTTCTATAATTTGAAGAAAAAAAGTCGTGTAAAATATCTTTCTGGAATTATTTTAAATGTTATCTCTTACAGTGAGGCCTCCAAAAGCTTAAAAAATTTTGCACGTGATTTATTCTAAAAATGTTCAAGTTCCTCAAAATCTTTACGTTACAATTTATGGTAAGTGACATTCTCGCACTAATGTTTGCGATAATTCATTTTTCGACAAATTTTCCTCGAAAATAGTCATAGTTGCTTACTGTAGAAGGCGTTAAGTTATCTAATTATACAAGGTGTTAGGCTACCCCCGGAAAAATTTTAATGGGAGATTCTAGAGACCAAAGTAAGACGAAAATCAAGAATATCAATTTCTTGACTGAGGCTTCGTTAAAAAGTTATTAAAAAATTAAATTCAAAAATTTCAAATTATTCACGGAAAAATTATTTTCGATTGCGGGGGTCAATTACAATCATTTTTAGTGGATACACATACCCCTCAATTCCTATTCACTTTCGAGAAAAAAATTCGAGTAGGTCCTGAAATTTTTTGACGAAATTAAAAAATTTCAAATCATTCCAAAAAAATTATTTTTGATTGCAGGGGTTAACTGCAATTATATTTGGTCAATAGACATACCACCGAAATCCTACGCATTTTCGAGAAAAAAATTCTTTACAGAAAATATAATTTGTGGTCTGAAATGGTTCCCCGAAATTTTAAGCGAATTTTTAAAATATCGTAACTTCTGAACGGATGGGACGATTTTAATGTTTCGAAATGCAAACGACGCGTATTTTCGTGAGGAATATGTAGAAATTCCAAAAATAATCGAAAAGTTGATGCTTGACCTCGCAAAATGAAGAAAACGCCATAAAAATGGTACAATTTTCAAACAGCCATAACTCCTACAATAGTAAATATATTTCAATGAAACTTTTTTCTGAAGTAGAGTTCATAGGTACCTACAAAAAACTATTAAACAACTTTTCTATAGCGCGTTAAATAAAATTACAAAAAATGAAAAACGAATAGTCATAACTCCTACAATAGTTAATATATTTCATTGAAATTTGGGGGGGGGGAAGTAGAGTTCACGAATGCCTACAAAAAAGTACTAAACAACAATTTCGTAGAACATCAAACAAATTTATTAAAAATCAAAAACAATGTTATCAGAAAAATCGACACTAAAATTTTCGGCGTAATTGAAAAGTTTCAAATCATTTTAGAAAAATTATTTTCGGTTGCGGGTCTCAATTATAATCATTTTTTATGAATACACATACCCCCGAATTCCTACCCACTTTCGGGAAAAAAATTCGGGCATGTGCTGAACTTTTTCGACGAAAAAAAAAATTTCAAATCGTTCTGGAAAAATTATTTTCCGTTGCAGGGGTCAATTACAATTATTTTTGGTCAATAGACATACCCCTGAAATCGTATCCATTTTCTAGAAAAAAATTCGCGGTATGAAATTTTTCGACAAAATTAAAAAGTTTCAAATCGTTCTGGAAAAATTATTTTCAATTGCGAGGGTCAATTACAATTATTTTTGGTCAATAGACATACCCCTGAAATCCTATCCATTTGCTAGAAAAAAAATTCAGTACTGGTGGAATTTTAAACGTTAATAACTTCTTAACGAAGCCTCCATCAACAAATTGGTATTTTTGATTTTCGTCTTATTTTGGCCTCTAGAATCTCCCATTAAAATTTTTCCCAGGGGTGGCCGAACACCCTGCATGTAACGAAACCGATTTCGCTCACTTGTCGATGAAAGTCTTTTCCAAATTCCCGATAAGAGTCGAGTTCAATTAAATCGCTCCGACCTAATCCAAACTCACCGATTGAGCTCCTCCAAGCTGCGCAGGAAATCAATCGCCTCGGACATGTTTTGTATTCGTTTGACAGTTTCCACCTGAAACGACTCGTTCCCCGGTTTCAAGCCTTGATAGATCTGCTGCAGCCTGAGCAATCCTGGAACAAGGGTGAAATTTATCGTCAACGGGAGCGCCACCATTTCGCGTGAATTCGAAAATTCTCGACGGTCGTAAACGCGTTCACACGGTTCACCGCTCGTCAATATATATAGCATACATATGTGTCATATTGTGCACGTCTTCCGAAATTCAGACACGCACAATTGCGCTTCACATCAGCCGCAATTCATTGGCACGCTGTGTTTAGTCTGCGGTTTTCACCGCGACCGAAACATTATGCGGTGATCGTAGTGAAATCATTTCTGATCACGCAATTTTACTACTATGGTCTCATTATTTAATCGACGTTTCGGCTACTTGGACGCGGATAGCCCTTTTTAGATAATAATGTAATTAAAATGTTAACTGCCATGACACTTTTCCACGTCTAGAAATGGCCACGATGTTCGAAAGATCCACGAGTAGAGTGAAGGATACCAAATTTTGGTGTTGCTCGGAAAAGAAACATTTATTCATCGATATAATGCCAAAATTTTATATTTTCTCATATATCATTTTATTCTTCGTTTTATTATGATATTAAAATTTTAAGAAATATCTAATACATTAAACTCAAAAAGTGAAAACTATTTTTATTCCCATATTTTTTCCTATAAAGCTCGGAAGAAAGTCTGATTTTTAATGCGATATGATATGCGAGAAAAAAATATGCAACTCAAAATTCCACAAAATTGACATTTCCACTTTTTCCGTGGACGCTTCTTTACTAAAATTTTAGCACGAGGAACAATAATATCCAATAATTCAAATATTGTACTAATATTATAGTAATAATACTGTAAGTATTACTAATATTACTATTTTTATTTTCAGATACGGTTGAAATTAAATTAGTAATATTAGTATTATATAAAATAAAAAATATCTTAATTGTACTAATATTACAGTAATAATACTGTAAGTATTACTGATATTACTATTTTTATTTTCAGATACGGTTGAAATTACATCAGTAATATTAGTATTATATAAAATAAAAAATATCTTAATTGTACTAATATTACAGTAATAATACTGTAAGTATTACTAATATAACTATTTTTATTTTCAGATACGGTTGAAATTAAATTAGTAATATTAGTATTATATAAAACAATAAATATCTATTTGAAATAATTTATTTTTTGACCGTTATCTGAAAATAAAGATAATTGCAATTCATTCGACATAAAGCGATTCGCGAATAATAAGTTATTTCATTATTCCTTTCGTTTAAATAGACCAAAAGAAATAATCCTGGAAATAATAATTAAAAAAAGGATTTATTTTACGAAACCTTTGCAACAATTTGTTTAAAGCAATAATTTCTTCATAAAGAAATACTTCAACCGTGAACAAAAATTGCAAACCAGGCTCAGAATTCACGATCGAAGCGCAATTTCGAATATTCGAATATTATGTTTAATTTCACAATTACTTCAGAAGTGATCACAAGCATGAAAATAATTATGAAATAAAATAACTGTGAGCAATTGGGTGTGTTCACACGACGATGCACGGACATTTTAAGAACGCGTCTTTCGGCGCCTACTTATACCCGTATAGGCATTAGCCTCATCTGTTCTTGTTACTGTTGGTAACAACTGTTCATTCAACCGTATGTGTTACATGTCGCATCTCTGACGAGTTGTTCTGTATTTATGGCGTATATTACATCGAGCTTTTAATAAATATTCCCTTAACTGCGTTTAATAACCAACAATAACGTAAGATTTCAATTATTTAAAAAGTGGCCAAGTCTGGTCGCACAGGGTGTCCGTGTAATTTGCAAGACCCACGTTCGTTTCCCTTATTTCTCGACGCTCCACGACCTCGAACTTTTTATCGAACGTCTTCGAAATTTCAATCAATTCGATACTCGTCGGCGCCCATTTCGAAGGACGCGAGATCAAACGGTTCGGTGTTTGCCAACCAAATCGATTCGGGCAGTCGAACAATCGGTAGGTTCGGCCGCCGCGAGAGAAGGATTGACTGATTCGCAACCGCGCCGGGAAACGTAATGCAACGGGTAGAAATTGAAAAATCAGGAATAAAAGGACGGATGGCAGGATCGAGGGGGCGTGGAGGGGAAAGGGGCGTGGGGAAAGTCAACAGCGGAGAGCCGGGTACGTTTGGTGCTGTCGTCATGCTTTTTTGCGGCGCCATGCGTGAAACTGATGGCCGGGTTAACGAGCGCCGTGTGGGTGTAAGCCCAGTGGCGCGTTATAAAAGAGCTTGCATTTCAACGAGCGCAGCCACAGCTTTTCGCGAACATCGCCCTCGCCCGACGTTTTCTTTCTCGCTGTTTCTTGTGGCAACAATGCCCGTTTCAAAATCCAATTAAATGATCTGCGAACGCCGCGCCGTTCAGCAATCGTTTACACCGCGTACTCTCCAAACTATATTAATTGATCCTTGGAAAATCACACCGCCAATAGTTGACTAATAAGCGAACTATTTTTTAAAATTTTACCGCTTTACGTCTGACTTCAGTTAAAGTCATTTAAATCGTTTGTTTGCAATTTCCTTTGATGCTGAAACGAGCAGTTAGAGCAGTCCTCGCCAGCCTGCCGCACAGTGGCTGGATCGAAGATTTTTTAGTGACATTTTACCAAAAAATGAACTTTTTAATCAATTGGTATTAGCTTTCAAATATCTACTGACCTTAAAAATGAAAGAATTGATAAAATTAATTATAAATTACAGCTGTATCGAACTGTTAAAGTTTAACATTTTCAAATGTACGTTTGGCGCTCGTAAAATGTACTGTCTTTTTCACGATATTTTGACGATTTCGATCATTTTTTTTCTTCGCTTCTTTTCTACAATAAACAGCATTATTTTCCATTAAAACATATTAATTACAGCTGAAGTTATTGTATTTAAAGTACTACGAACGTAATGTTCAATGTACTACAGAAAATTGTCAATATTTTTACAATTGACAAGGAATATCCTTTGAGTCTCAAGTTGTTCCACGTTCGAACATATCTCAATGTTTTCAGGATGCTTTCTTTTAGTTAATATATAAAAATCATAATCACTTTCGTCCACCTTTTTGAATTATTAATGTTCAAAGTTGGACAATAGTCGCGAGAAGCCCAGGAAACAAAGCATAAAGATTTTAAAAAGTTTCGGAATTACAAGAGGTATTTTTGGTTGCGAAGGTCAATTACAATCATTTTTGGTGAATACACATAACCCCGAAATCCTACCCAGTTTCGAGAAAAAAATTCGTTACCGAAAATATAATGTCTGATCATGAATGAATGATTCCCCTGAAATTTCACGTGTTTCATATCGTTTTGAAAAAATCATTTTCGGTTGCAGAGGTCAATTACAATCATTTTTGGTCAATACATATACCCACGAAATCCTCCGCACTTTCGAGAAAAAAATTCCTAAACGAAACTGTAATGTATAGCCGAAAATTTCATGCAAATCATTAAAACATCATAACTCCTGAACGGATTGGACGATTTTAATGTTTCGAAATGCAAACGACGCGTATTTTAGTGAAGAATATTTAGAAATTCCAAAAATTATCGAAAAGTTGAAGCTTGACCTCGCAAAATGAGAAAAACACCATAAAAATGGTCCAATTTTCAAACAGCCATAACTCCTACAATAGTAAATGTATTTCAATGAAACTTTTTTCTGAAGTAGAGTTCATAGGTACCTACAAAAAACTATTAAACAACTTTTCTATAGCGCGGCAAACAAAAGTACTAAAAATCAAAAACGAATTTTTAAGAAAAATCGATAGGGGTAGGTGGCTAAATTTTTCGACGAAAAAAAAAATTTCAAACCGTTCTGGAAAAATAATTTGCAGTTGCGGACGTCAATTATAATCACTTTTGGTCAATAGACATACCCCTGAAATCCTAACCATTTTCTAGAAAAAAATTCGAAAATGTGTGAAATTTTACGACAAAATTAAAAAATTTCAAATCGTTGTAAAAAAATTATTTTTGGTTGCAGGGGTCAATTACAATCATTTTTGGTGATAAGACAGACAATCGAAATCCTCCGCACTTTCGAGAAAAAAATTCCTAAACGAAAATATAATGTATGGCCAGAATGTACCCCGGAAATTTCATGCAAATCATTAAAACATCATCACTCCCGAACGGTTCGGACGATTTTAATGTTTCGAAATGCAAACGACGCGTATTTTAGTGAAGAATATGTAGAAATTCAAAAAATAATCGAAAAGTTGATGCTTGACCTCCCAAAATGACGAAAACCCCATAAAAATGGTCCAATTTTCAAACAGCCATAACTCCTACAATAGTAAATATACTTCAATGAAACTTTGGGGGGAAGTAGAGTTCATGAATGCCTACAAAAAAGTACTAAACAACAATTTCGTAGAATATCAAACAAATTTATTAAAAATCAAAAACAATGTTATGAGAAAAATCGACAAGGGGTAGGTGCCTAAAAGTTTCAAATTATTCTGGAAAAATTATTTTCGATTGCAGGGGTCGATTACAATCATTTTTGGTGAATACGCATACCCCCGAAATCCTACCCATTTTCCAGAAAAAAATTCGAAAATGTGTGAAATTTTACGACAAAATTAAAAAATTTCAAATCGTTGTAAAAAAATTATTTTTGGTTGCAGGGGTCAATTACAATCATTTTTGGTGATAAGACAGACAATCGAAATCCTCCGCACTTTCGAGAAAAAAATTCCTAAACGAAAATATAATGTATGGCCAGAATGTACCCCGGAAATTTCATGCAAATCATTAAAACATCATCACTCCCGAACGGTTCGGACGATTTTAATGTTTCGAAATGCAAACGACGCGTATTTTAGTGAAGAATATGTAGAAATTCAAAAAATAATCGAAAAGTTGATGCTTGACCTCCCAAAATGACGAAAACCCCATAAAAATGGTCCAATTTTCAAACAGCCATAACTCCTACAATAGTAAATATACTTCAATGAAACTTTGGGGGGAAGTAGAGTTCATGAATGCCTACAAAAAA